TAGTTATGTATATATATATATATACATACATAGTTTTAAGTTTACGTGCTTATAAATATGAGATTACATATTTATTATTGTGTTTTGGTTTAACTATATATATATGAAACAAATTTACATTCATATATATATAATCATATGTTTCATACTCTATTTTGTTTAAGAATATATTGCATAGAATATGCAATTTTGAGAAAATATTATTTTCTTGGTTTATGGACTTAACAATAATCATATATATCTTTTATTAAGTATTATTTTCTTGGTTTATGGACTTAACAATAATCATATATATCTTTTATTAAGTCTACAAAATCATTTTGAAATGTTTCAAAACATGGTTAAGCCAAAATGTTAAAACTCATGTGTTCACATTTTCATATTTTGGACTATTTTATAAAATAATGATATTTCTCATTCGGAAGGTCCTTTTTGAAAACCAGTTTTTGTAGCATGTTTATTATCATGTCTACAATCATCTTCGAAAGTTTTATAATTTTTGGAATTTATTTGATATTTTTAAACTTGGTTTAAAGTTGAGTTTTTCTATGCATTTCAGATCTGTGCACGTTTAGTCGACTCATTAGTTGACTCATGAGTCGACTCATAAGTCGACTCACAAAGTGTAGCAGAGTTGTGATTTTTTTATCTACTGAGTCAACTCATATAAGTCGACTCATAAGTCGACTCATAAGTTGACTTATCAGAGAGCCGTTGCATAGTAACGGCTAGATTTTTGTTTTGTTTGTTTATGGGTTTTCTGTCTTTTTCTTAGGGTTTTTGCTGAAGTTTTGAATGGGTATAAATACCCCTTGCTCTCATCTTCATAACTAACCAAGAGAATATTTTAAAGAGGTTTAAAAAAGTTTTGAACAAGGGTTTAAAGTTTATTAGTGTTTGTTTAAAAAGCTTTTAAGCAATTGAGGGTTTGAGTTTGTGAATTCAATTCCACAAGAGCTTGAGGAGATCATCTATTGGAGTTTGAGCAATCAACTATTCTCCCTCCATCTCTTGTCATCTATTGAGAAGTTTTCTAAACTCTTTTCTAGCTTCATATTTATTTGTTTGATTATCATCTTATTAAAGCTAGTTTTATATTGAGTTTAGATTTGATTAATCTCATTGTTACACACGCCCACTTGAGCTTATTGTATTTACATTCATAATATATTTAGAGTTATGAGAGATAGTAACATTGAGTTGTGCCTAATTGAGTTCTCACATTGTTTAGAGAACAATCATTTGTTGTGTGCCTAATTATGAAGTTCACTTTGTAATACACTTGTACACCGAGAGGAGTGTGTGGCGAGGACATAGTCGATACCGAGAGGAGTGACATCGGTGGCCTAGTGAGAGATGATAATTCTGAGCACTTGAGGGAGTCGATATGTGTGGACCAACACTTGAGGTTGTAGCTTGTATATGTACTTTGTGAGGATTAGTGAGAGTTGTCGGTTGACTTGATAACCGAGTGTGTAGAGTTTTCGGTTAGCTAGAAAACCGAGTGTGTAGAGAAGTTCCGGCTTCCAAATCGGGTTGTGTAGTGGATTCTCCCCGGGAGTAGGGAGCGGAGACGTAGGACGGAAGGTCCAAACTCCGTGATCATTTTCTTGTGTTTGGGTTTGGCATTAGCGCATTTATTCTTGCATATTATTATATCGCCATTGTTGCATGACCATTTTGTTTACCCTTGTTTATATTGTATATTCTTGCACATATCTTGTAGCATATCATACTTGCTAGGATATATTTGTTAATTAGTTTTAATTAACATTTAAATCGGATTAGATTAGCATAAGACCCTATTCACTCCCCCTCTAGGGTTCTTTCCTAGTGGCATTAGGGTCCAACAATTGGTATCAGAGATTGATACTCTTTGATTTAAGGTCTAATCACCTTGAGTTAAAGATCCAAGTTATCTTTTTATGCTAATCTTATTTTAATTGCATTTGTCTTGCTTGCACATATATATATTTATCATGGAGATGAATTGTGCACCTTTGTTAGGCTATGAAACAAATGTTGCTCCTAAATTCATTAATTTTCCCTATGCACAATAGGCTTCTAGATTTAAACTATTTGTGCAATCTAAAATATTGATTTATGAAGAGTTATTGATAATGCTTATATTGTACCCACTATGGAGAAATCCAAGTGGAGTAAAAATGACAAAAGATTGTTTACCATGAACAAGATTGTGTTAGAATATATGCTTAATGCACTTGATTCTTCTATTCCTAACAAGCTTGCTCATTTTGATAGTACTTACAAATTGCGGATATTCATAGAAGCACATCATGGTAACTTGAAGGAGATCCAAAGGATTCCGACGGATTCTTCCTCAAGTAATATTGGAGCTTCATCATGCACACGACCACTAGGCGATAGCCCTAGTGTGGTAAGCGATTCGGAATCCGATGATGATCTATCTATTAATGAACTCGCTTGTGCATATGATAGATTAGCGCATGCCTACAAGAAATTACAAAATGATTTTATTAATTTAAAAAGCAAGCATGTTAATTTGAAATCCGATCATGAGTTGCTAGTGTCCAAATTCGATGTCATTACAAAAGAAAATATCATGCTTAAAGAAAACAATGACTTGTTAAATTTAGAAAATAAAAAATTGACCTCATCCATTTCTAGCTTAACTTATGCTAAAAGTGATGCCATGCTAGAAGTAGAATAGATTAGAAATGAATTTGATTCTTTTAAAAACAACCATACATGCACTACTTCTATTAGCAATGGTGTTGTATCTAATGATGAGTTGAATCATGTGAAAAACCACATATCTTGTTTAGATTCAACCTTTAACACATGCATTGATAATCATAGAAAACTTATGGACTTGTGTGCAAAGTCTAATGCAAGCTCTTCTAAGAAACCTATACACTATGCACACATGTATAACAAAATTTACAAGTGTTCCATTTGCGGCAAGCTCTTCTAAGAAACCTATACACTATGCACACATGTATAACAAAATTTACAAGTGTTCCATTTGCGGTCGAAAAGGTCATATTGCTAAATTTTGTTATAATGCACAAAAACTCATCAAGACAAATAATTCTTGTGCATTCCATCAAGTTTCTTCATCACATTCACATGTACACACACATAAAGTTCATCATAAGTATGCTAATGTGTATCATTGTGATTTTTGTGGTAGAGTTGGTCACTTAACTAAATTTTGTTTTGATTTGCGAAAAGTTTTAAAATCATAAAATATTTCAAGTAGACCAACATTGTTTCAAAATATTTCACATTTGCAAAATAATCTTAAAAGACCATCTATGTTTGCAAATGTTTCTCGTGCACATGTTTATGGTCAACAAAATCAAATGGGCCTCTTTCATTGCACTTTTTGCAATCGGAAAGATCATTTGCATAATTTTTGTTTTGACCGTGTTCGTGCACCACATGCGCCCAAATGGGTTCATAACCCTAGGGCTTTGAGCTTGAATGATAGGGGTCATGTTCCTAACCAATCCGGCACCAAGAATGCTTGGGTGCCAAAATCTTTTTAAACCAAGAATTTTATTATTTTTTATTTTTCCTGTCTTGGTTTTGAAAAACGTGTTTTGAAAATTTTTTTAATAAGAAAACAATTGTTCTTTGATTAATTCTTTTGTTTTCATGATTACTAGTTTTGATTTTTCATGAGAGGTTTATATTTATGTAACCCCCCGGGTTTATTGGGTGCTTATTCCCAAATCATGTTTACCGGATGCTAGAATGATTATATGGGTTAGAACAAGCTTAAGAGCTTGATATATTATTACCTCTCTTGAAATTCTTTTGTCAAAGATTTTTTTTGATTTGTTGCTTTGAATTCATTATATTTCACTTATATAATGATATTTATATGTTTGTGCTCATGGATCATCTATTCGTGTCTTATAATGTATTCTATGAGTGGTTTGATCAAGTTATACAAAGAAAATTTTCTTTTTTGATCAAACATTATTTTTGGACACAAATCTTGATTTATGATTTCATTTGAGTGATTTGTTTTCATTTGAAAACTTTTTTCATGGTTCTCATGTTTTCCTCATTCCTTTGTTTTCATAAATTTATTCATACATGATTTTTATATTTGAGTAATGAGATATTATTTCATAATGACATATCAATATATGTTCTCATTGTCTTGTTTAGCATATCTTTCATTTATGCTTACTCACTTGTTTTTTGCCTTAGCATTCATTTCATATATCCATTAAGGCATTTCGATAGGGGGAGTAATCCCTATACTTGTTTTATACTCACCCTTGCTCATATGTAGGGGGAGATTTCGCTCTCTTCATTCTTGGTGTTTTCCCCTTTTTGATGTTGTCAAAGGGAGAGAAATATTATGAGTATAGCCTTTCTTATTTATATGCATGATAATTATAATTTACAATAGTAATTTCCTTTCATGCTTATATCTTTTTATAAATTGTTTGTCATCATCAAAAAGGGGGAGATTATTGGCCTTCTTGTTTTGATGGTGATTTACAAAAAATTTACTTCTAATGTTGTTTGTCTAGTGTTTGTGTTTTTGTATCAATTATAGACAAACAATATGTTGGAGGATGGATGGAATTGCGCTTCAACGATCATATCCAATGGAAGTTGGCGGAATAGTAGGTGAAGACTATGCAATTCAAGTTGAAGATCCAAGTTCTAGCTTCATCCGCAATGTGTACCAAGTCAAGCTTTTTGAAGATCAAGATCAAGCTTGGGTAACATTAGTTTAGGTTTATATTATGCGTGTTGGTACTTTAAGCTCAATCATATATACACACACATTATATTAGTTTCTTTGTATATATATAGTTATATATATATATACAACACAAGTTTTGGTTTTCATATATATATATATATATATATATATATATGAGAAAACGGGAGGTGAGCTGCCAGCGTAGGAAATTTCCTACGCTGGCGCCATGTGTCATGTTCTCATTCGCTAACAGAGAAAGGTTTTCAAACGGTTAAATTAATAACATATGAAGGACCTACGTGTAAAAGAGCAAATCACCCCGAAATCTCAGCTCACCATTCCTATTTTATTCCACAAAATCAAATCCCATTTCCTTCCCCAAAAACGAAAACCTCTGCTGACCCCTTCCATCCTCGCCGTCCCAAACCGCACCGCCGGCGCCTTCCCGACTCCGGGATTGCCTTGCACCTCCAGTTCCTTCTCGCAACGAGACACCCCTCCGTCATCGCCCGCAACCACAGCTTCATCTTCGTATCCCAAAAGCGCCGCTGCCCTCCTTCATCTTCGTAAGTAAACAGTTGATGCACTCCCTGTTCATAAGTTTTTTTTTTAATTTTGATGAGTTTTTCTCCTTAATTTGCAATCTGTGGTCTGACGAGATTTTTTATCTTTAAATAAAACTAAATTATAACTTTTTTATTTTGAGAAGATTCTCGTAGTTCAAAAATCTTACATTTTGTGTGTTCTTGAATTTTAATTTTAATTTCAATTTCATTACCTGCAAACAATTTTCATGTCTTCGCAATATGTATTATTACTAATAAAATGAAACTCATCATGAGCCCCAGACTATGTGCTACGATTCCTCTTTATTATCAGGTTTCTTCACAAAAAGATGTTAAAAAGTGTTTGTTTTCATAATTTTCTAAGGATCGCCATATATTTAGTTACAATCTTTGTGTGATACATATATCTTCGAACTTATGAAACATATATCTTCAAATACTTAATTGATTTTGTAAATAGTTAATTAATCTTTGTTTTCCAGAGCATTACCACACATCTTGATTTATCAAGAGAGCTTTATTATTTCCCACGTTTTCTTCTGTGGGCCAAAAGTTCGAAGACTGCAAGATATCTGATCGTAACATACATAAAAGTTACTTGTTTAGGTGTATGGATTTGGAATATTTTGTTAGGTCTGATAAAGTTATTTATTTATTTTAGTTCATCAATTATTTAGATGTTGCTGCTTAAATAATTGAATAAGCAATTGGATGATATAATTATACTAATGGAATTTGATTAATATTGTTTAGGTCAATTTCAATATGGCTGATGTTCATGTAGACAGTTTGATGACTGATTGTCACGCCCCAATTCTAAAACGTGATAATGTGGGACGTGACTCGGCCGACAATGTAACCTTACGGTCACATTCACGCCTCTGGATCATCCTGTATACAAATATTATACTAAAAAAACTACTACATAGAGCATGTAACTAAGATAACAAGGACAATAGATAGATAAAGACATCTCTAAAAATACAAGTTCTCTTACATGTCCACAACCATTCAAAGTAGGTAAGAGGAAAATACATCTTAGTCTGAAGTATCACAAGTGATTACAAGAAAACCTAAATAACTGAAGCTGAGAGACTGAAGGGAGAGAAGGTGTTCACTGCTGCAGGTCTTAATCCTTAAGATACTATTGGTCCTGCGAAGAAAGAACAGTTCCCGAGTCTGGGGGCATGCAAACCCCAGGGGAGTCAGAAAACTCCCAGCAAGCATGTAAAATGAGGAAATTGTGCGTGTATATGTGTATGTGGCAGGTATAAAGAAAAGATGGAAACTCAATTAAAGAATGATAAAGGAAATTTCTAAACATGGATATCAAATAAGGTCTACCACAAAACACATATCTTATACCCTATACTAAAAAGAGTTAAGATTTAGAAACCTACAACACGAGATGAGTAAGTCGAGGGAATAATCCAAACAAGGAAACCCTCGTATATACCATATATCTCAAATTATAAATCTCTAAATATTAACTCCTAAAATTATATACACAAATAATATAAATATACATCACCCATACTTTATCCAGGTCATACCGTGCATGCCAAATCTATCACAAAGCATATAAACACATTATTCTTATTTTACATGTTATTTGAATTAGAGAAGAATATTTTCATGTATATAAATCGGTTCCCCGTAAACCGTCCCGGGAACACGGCTTCAAGTCAGGAATTGGCTCTTTGGCCCATGTATATATAACTCAGGATATCAGGTATGCGCATATGCCCGTTTATATACATGTTATATTCTTCGTCTAATTCCCCTTTATAACCCCATGTTTGTCGATTAAATTTTAAATGACTGTGCATGAAATGTTGTGCACTAACCACAGAGTTACCGTGGAACGACTTCTGTAAAACTATGAAAATAACCGTGATCCAGAACATGTCTAATCAAGATGGGTGCATCGTCTAGTCGATGCTATAGTAGTAATAGCCAAGGAAAAACCTCATATCGGGATATCGATATCGAGGGCATAGCCATGCTATGAAAGCCCGCTTATAAATCATCTTTTTGACGGAAGTCGTCTTCATGCACAGTCAGCCCTATTTAAGGTCACTACATGATCAAACATATCTTTAGGTGATCACACATCATCATCACTACGCATACAAAGTTCACGGTCTACAAGAATCCAGAAAATACTCAAAAGAAATATAAATGTGAATTCTTCATAACAAGGAAATTCTAAAATAAATGGGCTTATCCTAAAAAGGCTTTGAACACTTGTAGTATCAGTTCCTGCCAAGCTCATGGCCAAAAATAATTAACCACTATTATGAATTATAAAAAAATAAGTTCCCTTGACTCTAACACTAATGTTGAGAACCGTAAAAAAAATCCTAAGAAAAAGATGTTTGTAGCTTCGAAAAATTTATAGAAGAAAAATATATACTTGTTTAATGATACTGTTAGCTATAAATTGAAATAATCAGAGATTGAAGGCATTTTTGGTAAATTAAACGTAACAATGGGACCCTTTAAGGAAAATACTAGTTAACTAGAAAAATACCAGAGAATATTTTTATGCATCAAATTTTTTTTTAAAGACAAAAATAAAGAACACCAAATGCTAAAATAGTTGTAGGCTAACATCAAAGTATAGACTATCTTTACAGTAAGATTTTGAATATCTAACTATGATCCATATAAGAAAAATATTAGCACATAACATTTCTTAAATAAGGAAAATAAATAGTGTATTGCTAAAACTTCATGTATCATGAACAGGAAAAAGTATGAACCTAAAGATCTATTCAGGTCTAAGCATTTTCACTCCACAACCTAGAGACTTAACCACATACTAGGCTCTACTCGGAAACCACGGAAATAAAAGATCCATAAATAACAAGAATCAACATCAACTGACAAGCATTAGATCCATACAGTGACAAAAATAATATTAATTTCAGCATTACACTCATATATGAACCATACTAAAAGCAACTAACTATTAAAAAGGAAGAATTTAGGAATTAGTTTATGTTACGGATATAGCATGAAATTGGATGTACACCAAGCAACCCATAATTCTCCTTGATCAATCAGAAAGATAGCTTATAGGAGGAAGTTAAAGGAAGGATTGAAAATATGCTTGCATGAATGTAAGATAAAAAATTATAAATTTAATTAAGGAAAAAGATGCCTGCATAATAATAATGAGAACGAATTCAACAAAGAGCAAGACAAAAATGCTTGTATGAAGGAAAATCCAACAACAACAACAATAATAATAATCAAGGAAAAGATGCTTGCCGATTTGTCGAAAAAGACTCTGAATCCGGAATCCAAAACTCGTCATTCTCCTTTCTTGTTCTCATTTTTTTTCGGTCTCTCTGGCTCAATTCTTTTTTTCGTGAGATTTTTTTTTTTTGAGTTAGGGGAAAACGAAGGGGTACTGGATTTAATGGAGGAATTTAGTAACGAAATTTTAGGTAAGGGAATTAGTGTGGAGAGATTTATGGAGGAATTTGTTTAGTGGAGAGATTAGGGGAATTAGTTGAGGGATTAATGGAGAGAAAAAATGACCGAAATTTACTCCCTCACACGTGAAAGGGAAGAAAAAAATCAAAGGGGAAAATACGGAAAAATGGGCTTTTGAGGTTTTGCTAACACTATTGGGCCTTTAATTATTTTTCTTGTCTAATTCCAACATATGTGGGCCTCTTTCTGACAGCTTGTTAGTTCATTTAAATGGGCCCTCAGAAACTTGTTTTTTTTTTTTTTTTTTCAAATTCCATATCACGTGGGCTTCTCATATAAAACCCCAAAAAAAATTAATTATTACATTCTACCCACCTAAGAAAAGAAATTTCGTCCTCGAAATTTTATTTAAGTACAAGAAAGAACAGTTTGTAACATATATATCTCTCCCTAGGCGGTATATATAGATAATGCCGCAAAAAGGTAAATGAGGTCTCCATGATAGATATATGTCTAGAAAACATGCCATCTGATATAGTAAAGTCATAAAAGTATTTTACTTGTAGAAATGTAAAGAGTAACGCAATTTGTTCATTATTTTACCTTTTATCAAAAAAAAATTGCTTGGAAATATGGTAAACACATCCATGCATATAAATACTTTCAATTATCACTCGGGAATACCCTGACATATCAAGTGTATGGCTTTCACCTAAATGTATATCTATGCATCCGGATATGCATATGATAGGTCGCTCGTATATGCATTAAAACTTCATCATCAATTTCTCCTTATCCCTTATGAACTTCATTTTACTATTCGATTACATGATATGTTCTACCCAAAATCTAGATTGTCGTCGTATATATCTCACACTATATACTATAAGCCTATTGGAAATGACACTCCATAGTATGAATCCCCTGTGAGATCAGTCAAGACGTGATACATGTAAACCAATTCTTTCCCAAGTTTGGTCCTAAGGATCATCACCCTTAAGACCACCACCAATCACAATCCAGTGGAGGAAGATCACGAGCCCCCTCTCACTAAAACATGTATCCCAATATAATTATTACAATGGTGTCTTGAAGGACTCGCTTGACATTCAACACTATGGCATCATGACCATGTATAACCTAAGATAATTCGATACTAATATAAAACTGGTAGATCCTGGCATGAGACTTTTCATGAAGTTTTTGTCCTTGTATTTCTTAAGCTTATAAACATGTGGATGGAATCATGTTTCAATGGCAATCCTCAAGTATTTATATATTTTTCTAGATATCAAGCATCATGTAATATCTCGATCATATATTGGATACATTGTCATATCAATATCATACACCATGCATAACCCACATTAAATAGTTTAGGGATGCTCCAGGAGCACAAATATAAGCAAACACGGGTTCATGCCAAGCTCACGTGTCAAGCTACATACACTCATACATGCAATCACTCGGAATTTTTTTTTTTGAAAGATATAATATGACGATAGGAAGATTTAATACAAGACATTATGGACTAGATTCATATTCCTCATCATGTTTATAACCTAATATATAAGCAAATAATATCATGTAGTTACTCATTACTAAACCACTCTAATCCATCAAAGTTCAAAGCTAATCTATCTACAACACTTAGTATTGATCCCGCTAAACCTATTTACAAGGATTTATCCATTAAAATTTCCAAACAAATTCTCACATTGTAGATTCCAATCATAATCTCAATTCCAATATTATGAATCCTCATAAAGTTCTCATGGGTTTACTCCAATCTTGTGTCTCTTAACTAATCAGATCAGATTATGCTTTCCTTATGTGATCTCATCATAAGTCTACTCCAATCTTGTGTCTCTTAACTAATCAGATCAGATTATGCTTTCCTTATGTGATCTCATCATAAGTCCCCTATAAGAGATCATGAACTAGCTAATCAGATCAGATTATGCTTTCCTTATGTGATCTCATCATAAGTCCCCTATAAGAGATCATGAACTAGCTACGAACCACTTCTTACCATAAAATTTTAACTTGCAAAATTCATCAATATTGTACCAAATTCACACCCCAAATTGATTGATAAACAATGAAGATCCGATTTAACTCAATTTAGAGATTACAATCATTAAGTCCAAGATCATAGTCAAACCTAACCATAAAAAAATAAAAAATACAATTAGAATCCATAAATCGTAGGAATATATTTTTAATTTACTCAACATAGCCATTTAATATCCTCAAAGCAAATACTTAACTTTATATTGTTGTTGTCTGACAAAATCAAGTCTCCATTATATACCCTCAATATCATATAATATCATCCACCCGATTCCTGATTTTTGGATACTAGGAAAGCCACTCTCAATATTTATAATCTAGATAATCAATTGCACATAGATCACATAGATCACCTGATGAATTTGCTTTACATGCATATCTACATCGAGTTAGCTTAAAAACATTCCTCTCTCATGACCTAACGGTGCTAAGATACTAGCCTAGCTGGAGCTAACTGGAAAAAAAAAAATTCAAGTCTACTAATATCCTAATTGGCTGGCACATAATGAACATCCAAGTTCGGTCACATGAACTAGCTAGAGCTAAATGGTTTGATTTAGATGATCCGTTAACCAAGATAACTTCACCCAAAAATAGGCAGCCATGAACCGGTAGTTGTTGCTAAGGTGAGGGTTAGTGACTAGACAACTTTCCTGGTAGCTTAACTTATGAAGCTTAGGGCTAGTCTACAAAAACCTATCTGTGCTCATTGACTAAATCTGGATACACTGGGCTTGAGAAGGAAAAAGAATTAACTGTTAAGATAAAAATGAATTTGGGTGTGGAATCAAAGGAGTAAGCGCAAAAATGATATTGCAAGGGTGAATGAGCCTAATATTATACATGCTCAGACTCCTATTCCTATTTTAAAAGCTCCAATAGTTATGTACAGGATGAGAGTCCAGTTATCAAACCTAGGCTCTGATACCACTAAAAACCTTGTCACGCCCCAATTCCAAAACATGATAATGTGGGACGTGACTCGGCCGGCAATGTAACCTTACGGTCACATTCACGCCTCTGGATCATCCTGTATACAGATATTATACTAAAAAAACTACTACATAAAGCATGTAACTAAGATAACAAGGACAATAGATAGATAAAGACATCTCTAAAAATACAAGTTCTCTTACATGTCCACAACCATTCAAAGTAGGTAAGAGGAAAATACATCTTAGTCTGAAGTATCACAAGTGATTACAAGAAAACCAAAAATAACTGAAGTTGAGAGACTGAATGCTAAAATAGTTGTAGGCTAACATCAAAGTATAGACTATCTTTACAGTAAGATTTTGAATATCTAACTGTGATCCATATAAGAAAAATATTAGCACATAACATTTCTTAAATAAGGAAAATAAATAGTGTATTGCTAAAACTTCATGTATCATGAACAGGAAAAAGTATGAACCTAAAGATCTATTCAGGTCTAAGCATTTTCACTCCACAACCTAGAGACTTAACCACATACTAGGCTCTACTCGGAAACCACGGAAATAAAAGATCCATAAATAACAAGAATCAACATCAACTGACAAGCATTAGATCCATACAGTGACAAAAATAATATTAATTTCAGCATTACACTCATATATGAACCATACTAAAAGCAACTAACTATTAAAAAGGAAGAATTTAGGAATTAGTTTATGTTACGGATATAGCATGAAATTGGATGTACACCAAGCAACCCATAATTCTCCTTGATCAATCAGAAAGATAGCTTATAGGAGGAAGTTAAAGGAAGGATTGAAAATATGCTTGCATGAATGTAAGATAAAAAATTATAAATTTAATTAAGGAAAAAGATGCTTGCATAATAATAATGAGAACGAATTCAACAAAGAGCAAGACAAAAATGCTTGCATGAAGGAAAATCCAACAACAACAACAATAATAATAATCAAGGAAAAGATGCTTGCCGATTTGTCGAAAAAGACTCTGAATCCGGAATCCAAAACTCGTCCTTCTCCTTTCTTGTTCTCATTTTTTTTTCGGTCTCTCTGGCTCAATTTTTTTTTCGTGAGATTTTTTTTTTTGAGTTAGGGGAAAACGAAGGGGTACTGGATTTAATGGAGGAATTTAGTAACGAAATTTTAGGTAAGGGAATTAGTGTGGAGAGATTTATGGAGGAATTTGTTTAGTGGAGAGATTAGGGGAATTAGTTGAGGGATTAATGGAGAGAAAAAAAATGATCGAAATTTACTCCCTCACACGTGAAAGGGAAGAAAAAAAATCAAAGGGGAAAATACGGAAAAATGGGCTTTTGAGGTTTTGCTAAATTTTGAGGTTTTGCTAACACTATTGGGCCTTTAATTATTTTTCTTGTCTAATTCCAACATATGTGGGCCTCTTTCTGACAGCTTGTTAGTTCATTTAAATGGGCCCTCAGAAACTTGTTTTGTTTGTTTTTTTTTCAAATTCCATATCACGTGGGCTTCTCATATAAAACCCCCCAAAAAATTAATTATTACACTGATAATGTGGAAGGAATTGGATTTGTTTATTGTAGTAATGCAGAGCATGGGCTGGAGCAAGAGAAAATTAATCATGTTAATTCTATTGATAATGGCAAGTCCAATACTGTTGAACCATGGATTGGAATGGAATTTCCCACATATATTGCTGCGTATGATTATTACAATGATTATGCAAAAATAAAAGGATTCAGTGTCCGCATAAGCTCAGGCAATTACTCTAGGAAAGAAGGAAAAGAATTAATATCAAAGAAATTTGTCTGTAATTAGGAGGGTCTAAAAGCTACAAATGATAAGAGAGAGCACGGAAAAATAGTTAAGCGTCGAAGAGATACTAGAGTAGGTTGCAAGGCGATGTTGCAGGTCAATCGAACTAATAAAGGTACAGGATAGTGAGCAAACTTGTTAATGAGCATACAAATCACGAGTTGACTAGTCCTGATAAGGTTAAGAATCATTATTCACATCGAAAGTTACATCGAACAAAAGGTTGTCAAAGTCTGATTGATAGTTTGCATGAAGAAGGGCTTCCGTCAGCAACAATTTCACGAGTAATAAGTGTTGGTAGTGGGAATCAGGAGGAAATTGTCACACCGCAACAATGTAGTGATCATATCAGAAAACAGAGAAAGAATAATATGGGTAATGAATGCATATTAGTCATTCAAAAATTCATAGATAAAAGATCATTTGATCCAGATTTTTATTTTGCTATTGAATTAGATACTACAGGAACTATGAGGAGTGTATTTTGGGCAGATGGACGGGCAAGGGCATCATTTTTAAAATTTTATGACGTTGTTATTTTTGATGTTACATATAGAACTAACAAGTTGGCACTGCCTTTTGCTCCATTTACTGGTGTTAACCACCATAGACAGTGAACTTTATTTGGTTGTGCACTACTTGCAGATGAGGAAGAAGACACATTTGTCTGGTTATTTACCGAGTGGGTTAAATGTATGAATGGAGTGGCTCCGCATGCTATTATTACAGACCAAGACAAAGCTATATGCAATGCCATTCAAAAAGTGTTTCCAAATACTCGACATCGTTATTGCAAATGGCATATTGGCAAGCACATGGTTGATCATTTATTATCTCTACAAAAGTTGCATGGAGAAGAGTTTGCGAACTACTTTAATAGATGGTGGCATAGCAAGACAATTGAAACATGTATTCAGAAATGAGATGAGTTAAAAGAAAAGTTCAATATAGAAGAAAATGAGGAAGGTTGGTTACAAACCATGTACAGAAAAAGAACACATTGGGTTCCATGCTATCTCAAAGATACATTCTTTGCAGGAATGACATCAAGCCAACGTAGTGAAAGCATAAATGCCTTCTTTGACACATACGTCAACTCACAAACATTGTTGCCCGATTTTGTTGAGCAATATCATAAAGCAATATTGTCGCGTCGTTCTCAAGAATTAAGTAAAGATTTTGCTACTTTGAATACAAAGCCTGTGATGCATCTAAACCATCCGATTGAGATTCAAGCTGGAGAGTTATATACAAGAGCTATATTTGAGAGGTTTCAGGATGAGCTTAAAGGTTCTGTATCTTTGTTTCATAATGAGATCGGAAACGAAGAATCAATTTCTAAATACATAGTTGGCTCGATCTCTACTGAAAGAAGTGTATGGGAGCATGTAGTTTATAATCAAAATGAACAAAGAATAACATGTACATGTGCTATGTTTGAGACTAATGGAATATTATGTAGGCATGCCATTCATATTATGATATCGAATCAGTTGGTAAGAATTCCTCAAGAATACATTATGCATAGATGGACAATGAATGCAATGCACCGTAATATTGGAGTCTCTCATGTGTTGCTGGAGAAAAACTTTAATAGTAATAGAGAACAATGGACTACTTTGCGCTCTTGGGCTTTGAGAGCAAAATTTAATAACGTGATGGAGTGGGCACCTGAATCACCTATGGTCTTTGATGAAATAGATACATTTTTTTCTAACTTGATGGAAAAACATGAAAAAGATATTAGTGCTAAGCAAATCAAGGGGATTGAAGCTACAAGTCGGGTTGAATCTAGTACTCCTCCTTCCCATACTATTGAGAAACTCCCTCAAATCACTGTTCGTGACCCTCTTGAGTCTACAAAACATAAGGGGCGGCCGAGAACAATTAGCAGATTGAAATCGGGACTTGAACAAGCACAGGGAAAAAAAGAGATAAAAAAGAGGACATGCGGCAGATGTGGTCAAAAGGGACATTATAAAAGTAGTTGCACAGGACATGCGGCAGATGTGGTCAAAAGGGACATTATAAAAGTAGTTGCACTAATTCTCTTGTTGCTAACCCGTCAAATAACTAGGTATTTTAATGTTTGACATTATAAAAGTAGTTGCACTAATTCTCTTGTTGCTAACCCGTCAAATAACTAGGTATTTTAATGTTTCATTGTTCAAAAAGATACTTACATTAGTTGACTGATACATTTTATTACAGCTAGTTCTATTTATTCATCTGATTCTTGTTTATTTATACAGGCTGAATTTGAAGTTCATCATCCGACTCCTAACAGTAAGTCATTTTGGATCTGAAAAACAAATTACAGCTTTGCTATTGTTTCTAAAATTTAGGTAGTTGCCAACATTCTGTTTGTGTCGGAATACATTGCTCTGCATGAATATGAAGATCATATGTTTGATGGAATAAAATCATGTTATAGGCAAGCTTGATGAATGAGGAACTGATTTTTCCTTTAATGTTTGATTTAGACGTTGTGAACTTTTGTACTATGAGTTAAATTGATATTTGATTGTGAACTTTTGTACTGTGAGTTAAATTGATATTTGATTGTGAACTTTTGTACCAGGAGTTTGCAATCACCCTTTCCACTTTCACTGCATCGGTAGGTGGCTCAAGACCAGGCAAGTGTGCCCTTTAGGTCAGTAACACATCTAAATCATTTTTATTTTATGAAATATCTTTAATCTCTAAATGTTTTCGTATATATTTTTACTTGATCTTTTCCTCCTGCAAACATGCAGACAACAGCGAGTGGGAGTTCCAGAAATATGGCCACTAGATTTTGGAGGTCAAAGCGTTTACAATTTCATGCATCTTTCTAAAACTGCATTTAGCCTAATGAGGACTGGAAGTTGTAATGAAACACGAATATTGGAATTTCTGAGAATGAAGGATATCATTATAATTTTCCGTTGCTTTGACGTCTTTCCAGCAAAATATTCTAATTGCTTTTGATCCATGCATCACAATGCCAATGTCATGAGTTCAAATTTTTTTTGGTGGATGTGTATTGTCAGATGAAGATGATGTCACCAAGCAAATTGCAAGGGAATTGGTCTTGATTGATAAAAAAAATGAACAAGGTAGTTCTCTACGTATCATAACGAGTAATAAGCTAATGTATCAATTTCGCAGGACAGAATGTAAAACAATAACAAACCTGCGTAATACAGCTAGACTTAATAGTGCAGCTGAAACTGCACTATTAAACAAAGCACAAAATTCATCCATAACTTAAAACCATTACCAATGCAAATTTGACAAACACGTGCTCCTTCATAGGAAATGCAGACTATTGGCAAAAGTGAAGCTCATTGAATCAAAGAGCAACACCAAAGAATTTCATTGAATTAAAAGGTTACATATTTACTTTTACACATACAAGTCCTAACTGTTTTCTCGCTGAATTTTCTACAGATGTGCTTAACTTCTTCTCAACTTATTTGACCTTTCCTGTTTCCGCTGCAAATAATATAACATATCTCTTGCTTTACATTGCTAAAAGGCATCAGCTCTTCGGAGGATGTGTGATGCGAACATTATTACATTGAGATTACAGGCAACTTCATCTTCCTATTGATAGGTACAATGTGAATGCAGGTGTTTGCAGATGATGATTCTGCCTCCAAGCTCCTCTTCTGCACTATTTGAATCAATTATTGGGTTTGACATAGTGACAATAGATTTGTCTTCGATATTAGTCTTCATCAATAGTCACAAGTGTGGGTATCTTCCCATTGTTAGCAAAATCTATTTTGTTCAGTCTCAGGCAACGAAGGACATGCTCCAGTAATTCTTCCTGCTTCAAAACCTGCATCATTAAATGATGATTGATTCTCTCTCTCCCTCTCTCTCTCTTATTGTTTAGAAGATTAAAAGCATCATGCAAACACAACGCAAAAGAAAATAATCTACCTGGTTGTTTTGTTACAATGAGGACCAATGTACAAAGGGTGAATTAAGGAGGACAATCACTCAAAATTAAGTTGACTCCTTTAAAAAAATAAATTTTAATAATTCTAATAATTATATACTACATCAAACTTTTAGCAAATAAAAATTAGGTTGATTCCTTTAAAAAAATAAAAAAACTATCATTAACTAGATTGAATTAAGGGGAACAATCACTCAAATGTTTTTTCTTAGCTCTCTCCATCTTCTCCGAAATCATATTTAATTACTTAAAGAAGGTAAATGATTCGGTTAGCAATCAACTACTCATAATAGATGCTAATACACTTCCACAAAAACCTGGGATGACAAGAGACAAATCTCCAATACAACAATAATGGAGGATTCAGACTCTTCTCTTTCTAAAAGCAATTCAGATGCATTTATCACACCACATCAATTAAAAAAATTATCTTTCTCCACTCATTTTGAGGGTCCATGTTTATGGTTGCATTTTTTTGAGTAACCGGGAGGAGATGCTTAGGGACTTCACTGATTGGAAAAGTTAGAAGATGTACCTGAGGATGCCGAGAGATGATCCTCTTGATCAAACCCAAGACTGGGATTTTGGGGATGACGAGGGCGCCGGCGGTGAGGTCTGGAACGGCGAAGAGATCCGCGGAGATCGGGGATTTTGGGGATTTTCGGCGGAGATCGGCGAAGAATCTCTTCGAAAGAGGTTCCCGCTCAAAAGAGGTTGTCAATCAAATCTGATAGAATGATATTTGATTTAGACGTTGTGAACTTTTGTACTGTGAGTTAAATTTAGGTAGTTGCCAACATTCTGTTTGTGTCGGAATACAATGCTCTGCATGAATATGAAGATCATATGTTTGATGGAATAAAATCATGTTATAGGCAAGCTTGATGAATGAGGAACTGATTTTTCCTTTAATGTTTGATTTAGACGTTGTGAACTTTTGTACTGTGAGTTAAATTGATATTTAATGTTTAATTTAGACGTTGTGAACTTTTGTACTGTGAGCCTGACCAATATTCTAAACTTCTCCTATGCTACTCCACCATTCAAATACCTAGGGCTCCCGCTCAAAAGAGGTTCCCTGTCCAGATCTGATTGACAGCCTTTACTAGACTCTCTCCATCGTAAGCTCTCTCTTCGAAAAAGCAAACAGCTCTTCTTTGGCGGTCGTATTGTTCCCCTTAAATCTGTCCTGTTCGCTATTACTCTATATTACATGTCCTTCTTCAAACTCCCCAGTTGGCTCACCAAAGATATCGACAAGATCAGACGTAATTTCCTCTGGGGAAGGTCTTCCGATTGCTCTAGGGGCAATCATTCTATCAGATGGACCTCCATCTACTCTCCTAAAGCCAGCGGAGGGCTGAGGGTTCCTGACCTCCAGCTTTTCAACTCTTGCCTCCTCTCTAAATGGCTATGGAAATTCTTGGATATCAATAATCATGTGGGCAGGGTTCTCCGGACCATCTACCCCTCCAACCTTCTTAATCCCCAATGTCCCAACCAATGCTTCAAATTCTCTCTAAATGGCTATGGAAATTCTTGGATATCAATAATCATGTGGGCAGGGTTCTCCGGACCATCTACCCCTCCAACCTTCTTAATCCCCAATGTCTCAACCAATGCTCCAAATTCTGTAAGGACGTTCACTCTTGCTTCCACTACTTCTCATCCTTTGTCAAATGGTCTCTGGGCAATGGTTTTAGGATTCAATTTTGGGAGGATAAATGGATAGGTGACAACTCCTTGGCTAGTCTTTTCCTATTGGCCTGCCTCCTTGCCTTCTCTAAACAAACTTTTTGAATCCCAAGGCAGATTTCTTGGGGTGGGTGTTGGGTCCTTTTGTTTTGATAATGATTTAACAAATAATTTATGACTAATATTGGTTTTAGTATTTTGTTTTATGTTTTTTAGTATATACAAGTATATTCAAGAAATTAAGCAAAACTGATATATTGAAGCCATGCATAACAAGTCAATCTATGCATGTCCATGCTTCAGAAGAATCATTCTTGGTATACTTTGTATAGGATTATATTATGCATGTTATTCTATAAGCTCAAATACACACACACACATTTAATTTTTGAATTTTCATGAAAATAAGTCTTTTTATGCAAAATACATTCAAATATGTTTTGGACTATACAAACCATGCTAATATTTTTTATTATGTCCATAAAAAGATTACAAAAGTTATCAAAACTTGATTTGAGTTAAAATGGCAAAATCGACATATTTGAAAAACATGTATCTTAGCACTTTTGAATATTTTTGTATTTTCACAAATGGTAAGAGAAAATTGAAAAATTCTTAATTAGGATTAAGTAAGGACGTTTTGAGCAGTCTTTGAGAGTGGATTATTGCATCTAATTGTGGGAGATTTATGAGAGATCTAGAGAGCTTTGTTTGAGGGTTTTTGGTGAGATTTATAACCCTATTTGTATTCTCTTATTTTCTAATAGTAGAACTCCCCCTCCTTGCCCCGTGGACGTAGGCAACTTGCTAAACCACATATAATTTATTTGTCTTGTTGTGGTATTGTGTTTGGCTTGTTTGGTTGTGATCTTCCTCATCCTTGTTCATGTGATTTGAGTTCCGCTGCGCAAAACAACGAGATGGTCCACTAGTGCTTCTCCAAGAAGATCGAAGCTTGCATCATCAAGATCGACTTTAGTAAAGCCTTCAATTGTGTTAGTTGGGATTTTCTGCAATCCCTCCTTCAGGCCAGGGGTTTCGGTCCCAGATGGTGCTTATGGATTAGATCCATCCTATTTTCTTCCAAATTGTCTGTCCTTATCAATGGTACTCCTTCCAAACCTTTCCTATGTCATAGAGGTCTCAAATAGGATGACCCCCTCTCCCCCATGTTGTTCCTTCTGGTGGTCAATATTTTATGTAGGATGCTCCACAACAGCTCCAACCATGGTGACCTCTCAGAGCTTCATCTCAAGGGCTTACTTAATGATATCAAATCCCTTCAGCTTGCAGACGATACTATCATCTTCTGCAATGCCTCCCTTCTGACATTATTAACCTCAAGGCCATCCTGTACCTATTTGAAAATGTTAGCGACCTAGCAATCAACTTCAATAAATCCAATCTCTTCTACAGCGGTAAGTCCCCTTCCAAGGGACCTCGCCTAGCCAAGATTCTAAATTGCTCCTATGCTACTCCACCATTCAAATACCTAGGGCTCCTGCTCAAAAGAGGTTCCTTGTTTAGATCTGATTGACAACCTTTACTGGACTCTCTCCATCACAAGCTCTCTCTTTGAAAAAGCAAACAACTCTTCTTTGATGGTCGTATTGTTCTCCTTAAATCTGTCATGTCCGCTATTCCTTTATATTACATATCCTTCTTCAAATTCCTCAGTTGGCTCATCAAAGATATCGACAAGATCAAATGTAATTTCCTCTAGGGAAGGTCTTCTGATTGCTCTAGGGGCAATCATTTTGTCAGATGGACCTTTGTCAGCTCTCCTAAAGCCAGCGGAGGGCTGGGGGTTCCCAACCTCTAGCTATTCAACTCTTGTATCCTCTCTAGATGGCTATGGAAGTTCTTGGACAGCAACAATCATGTGGGCAGGGTTTTCTGGTCCATTTACCCCTCCAACCTTCTTAATCCCCAATGTCTCAACCAATGCTCCAAATTCTGTAAGGACGTTCACTCTTGCTTCCACTACTTCTCATCCTTTGTCAAATGGTCTCTGGGCAATGGTTTTAGGATTCAATTTTGGGAGGATAAATGGATAGGTGACAACTCCTTGGCTAGTCTTTTCCTATTGGCCTGCCTCCTTGCCTTCTCTAAACAAACTTTTTGAATCCCAAGGCAGATTTCTTGGGGTGGGTGTTGGGTCCTTTTGTTTTGATAATGATTTAACAAATAATTTATGACTAATATTGGTTTTAGTATTTTGTTTTATGTTTTTTAGTATATACAAGTATATTCAAGAAATTAAGCAAAACTGATATATTGAAGCCATGCATAACAAGTCAATCTATGCATGTCCATGCTTCAGAAGAATCATTCTTGGTATACTTTGTATAGGATTATATTATGCATGTTATTCTATAAGCTCAAATACACACACACACATTTAATTTTTGAATTTTCATGAAAATAAGTCTTTTTATGCAAAATACATTCAAATATGTTTTGGACTATACAAACCATGCTAATATTTTTTATTATGTCCATAAAAAGATTACAAAAGTTATCAAAACTTGATTTGAGTTAAAATGGCAAAATCGACATATTTGAAAAACATGTATCTTAGCACTTTTGAATATTTTTGTATTTTCACAAATGGTAAGAGAAAATTGAAAAATTCTTTTTCCAAAATGTTTATATTCATGTTTATAAACTTTTCCCAAAGGTTTACATTTTTTTGTATTTATTTGCTATTTTTTATTGAGCCTTGAAACTCAACTTGAAAAATCATTTTAGGCTGATAACCTGTTATCAGTCGACTGATCAGTCGATTGAAGAATGCGCCTGTAATCTTTAAAAGTTTTTGTTATGTTTTGGTCGACTGACCAGTCGACTGATAATCCATCAGTCGACTGATAAAGATAGTCAATCGACTGATGAACTATTTGACGCCTACAACGGTCAGCTCACCAGTCAACTGATTATTTCCGTCAGTCGACTGATAAGCCATAACAGCTATATTTCTAGCCTTGGTTATTTTATTATTTTTGCTGGTTTTTCTTAGTTTTCATGCCTTGGTTTTTCATCCTATATAAACCCCTATTGTTCTCATCAGAATATCTATCAAAGAGGGTTTTAAAAAGAGATTAAAGATTTTTAAAGTTTGTTTAAAAGTTTTTAAGTTTGAGTTTACAAAGAGGAGGCTTGCATTTCCAATTGAAGAATTCATCTTCAATCTTCTTCAACCTCTATTATGTTTATAGAGAAGTTTTCCTAATTCTTTTCTCTAGCAATTTGTTTTTGATTTTCATATTATCATCATTGCTAGTTTTGCTAATTGAGTTATATTTTGTTTATACTCATTTTATCACACACACCCTATTTGAGCTTGTTGCATTTCATACATCATATATTGGGTTGTGGGATTGTGATTTTATGAGATTGAGCTTACATTGAGTTCTCATCCATATTAGAGAACGTTTTATTGCACTTGAGCTTCATTGTGACTTGCACATTGCATTACACTTGGACAAGATCAGATGTAATTTCCTTTGGGGAAGGTCTTCCGATTGCTCTAGGGGCAATCATTCTATCAGATGGACCTCTGTCTGCTCTACTAAAGCCAGCGGAGGGCTGGGGGTTCCTGACCTCCAGCTTTTCAACTCTTGCCTCCTCTCTAAATGGCTATGAAAATTCTTGGATATCAATAATCATGTGGGCAGGGTTCTCTGGTCCATCCACCCCTCCAACCTTCTTAATCCCCAATGTCCCAACCAATGCTTCAAATTCTGGAAGCTACTTCTCATCCTTTGTCAAATGGTCTCTGGGCAATGGTTTTAGGATTCAATTTTGGGAGGATAAATGGATAGGTGACAACTCCTTGGCTAGTCTTTTCCTATTGGCCTGCCTCCTTGCCTTCCTTAAACACACTTTTGTTGAATCCCAAGGCAGATTTCTTGGGGTGGGTGTTGGGTCCTTTTGTTTTGATAATGATTTAACAAATAATTTATGACTAATATTTGTTTTAGTATTTTGTTTTATGTTTTTTAGTATA